GTAGAAGGCTTGAGTAGAAAAGAATTGTGTATTGACAAGTAATCCAGCCTGTTAAATGTAAAAGAAGATTAGTCACCTGCTTTGAGGCAGTGGTGCCTCCCCCAACCCACTGTACCCCAGGGGTCAAGTTTAAAGCTGTGGGATGGGGGTAGATTTGCCATGAACTAGTGTGTAGGCACTGCAATGTTAATAGACTGTTGTTTTGTGGGCAGTGTAGACCTTACTGTGGTAGTCTTCTCTTCAGCCAGGCTGTGGAGTAAATAATGTTTGGTAATCACAGCCCTGGGTCTCTAAATCGATGTTTCCCAAAGCAGCCGGCCCTGTGGCCCAGGTTTCTGTGGAATCTTTGACTGATGTTTCCTCCCTGCTCTCTGCTCTGTGGCCAGATACCTGGGGGCATCACTGAGCTGGGATGCATTTCAGGGGGAGGTCCAAGGCCTAGCGTCAGGCTGCAACCTCACTGTTTCCGGTCTGTGACAAGATGGGTACAGAAATTGAAAGTGAGCAATCAGGGACTTGTAAAGTAACCGGACAATGTGGTTTTACCTCTGTTGAATCTAACAATAAACACTTAGAATTTTATCTTGATGTCTTCTTAAATTTATTTTCCTAGTAATTCTTGCTTATTGCATTTTATGAAAGTATTGATCAGTGATGGATTGAAGGAGGAGGACTGATCTTTCAAGACTGATAGACTGAGTTGTTTGGATATAGCTTCTGGAGTCACTGAATGCCAGGGTCTTCCCACCCCCGAAGGGCAGAAGCCATTACTGACTCTAAAAGGGAAGGTTAGGGAAGTAGCAGAATTGTTTTCTTTTTTCTGCCTTTCCTCAAGTTTTCATCATTACTCTTAGAAGCATCTGTCCTGCTCTGTGCAGGGGGACAGAGTGTTGCTCCTCTCCCCAGGTGGCAGTGCTGAGATCTATCCACAGCAGGCTCTGGGTGTGGGCTCCTTCCCAGGACTGTCACTCCTGCCTGCCACTGTCCCTCCATGTGGCGGGGGGGGGGGTGCTCCTGCAGGAGAGGATCAGAGAGCTAACATCTGGGGACGTTCTGGAGTTCTGTGAAGGTTAGACATGTCACTCCTTGATACCTGTGCTCCTGAGGGAGACCAGTGGGTGGGAGGCAGGGAACCAGGAGACGTCAGGGAAAAACTAAGCCAGCTCTAGACTTTATCGCAGCCCCTGGATCCAGCCCGCCTCTGGATCTGAGCTGTTCTCCAAACAGACACCTGTGGTGAGTTGGGGCAGAAGGACAGATGGAAGCCCATTGGCCGTTTCCTGTCCTGAAACTTTCCCCCAGGATACCTGCAGACACTTTCTCCTTTTTGGAGTCTTGGTTTTATGAGGCCGTACCCCGCCCCACTGTTCCCTTTACCTGCTTTATTTCTCCAGAGCCCTTCGCATCCAGCATCCTGAGTCATTATTTACTCCACAGTAATATAATGTAAGTAAAGCAGTGAGATCAATTAGATGTAAGCTTACAAGGGCGAGGGGTTTTGTCTGTATTGTTCACTGCTGTATGTCCAGAGCTTAAACGGTGCCTGGCACATAGTAGGCACTCAGTACCTCTATAAAAGAATGAAGGGGAAGGGACAGGCTCACAAAGGAGCCAGCTGTGTCCAAGGTCACATCCACACAACTCTGTCCACGGAGTGCTGGACTGGAGTTGGGGAGGACACCATTAAGGGAGGTGACCAACCTTTAACCAGCCTGTAATGCTCTGTGTTCATTAGTGAATTGAAGGGTCGGGTTGCCATGTAAAATCCTGTTGTTAGCTCCACTGTACAGAAGGGGAAGATTAAGGTGAAGGACTTCATGCAAGGTCACCCAGCCCAGGGAGTGGCAGAACTGGAGGCAGCACTGTTGTTTAGTGGGGATTCATTTTCCTCTCCGTCACCACCTTTTCATCTGATGAGAACAGAAACCGGGGAAATCTGGAGCTCAAATATTACAGATAATGAGTTTTACAAATATGGGGCTGAAAAATTGGGTGCGTTACCTAGTAGCTCTTGTGGTTTGTGAGAGGAGATGATCCAGCCTTGGGGATGAGCGTTTTTCCCTCGCCGCACTCAGTGCTGGGCCCTGATTTCAGTCCTTGCCACTCGTGACTGGTTTTCCAGACCCCCCGAAGGCTGAAACCAGCACCTCCAGACAGCTCCCCATCTCTCGTTGTAATAATATTTATGGGGCATCTACTAGGTGCTCCAGAGAGGTCAATAGAGAGAACAAAGTTCCTTGCCCTTCATGGAACTTCTATTTTAGCAAGGAGAGCGAGACAGGAAATAAACAGTAAGCAATAAACCATGAAGGAGATTATATGGTATGTTAAAAGATGGCCTGCGCCCTGGAAAATAGGAACAGTAATGGAGCGGAAGGTGCCGTGTCACAGCAGGTGGTCCAGGTGGGCCCTGTTGGACGGTGACCTCCACGTGAGGGCCTGAGCGAGGCCGGGGAAGGGCTGGAGGCTGGGGGAGAGGGGACAGAGAGGACAGTGCCCGAGCTGAGGAGGCACCTGGCCTGGTGTGGCGGGGGGCGGGGGAGAAAGGAGGTGAGCATGAGCAAACTGGGAGGCGCCAGGACGTCCCCACCAGTGGGGTCTGGGGAGCGAGAAAGGGAAGAGGGGAGGGAGCCAGCCTTCACCTTTCTCTTCCTTCCTCTTTGTCCTCTTTTAGTACCCAACAGAATCAAGTAGTCAGCCTGAAGTCTTTCGAGATTTAGCTGCTTCGGGTGGACTAGTTCTCTACTGTCTGGGTTTGGGTAGGACAGCTGTAACATGGGGGAATCTATGAACAGCCTTCAGGATCCCATCTCCCTCCTCGTCTGTCCTCCCAACCAACCCATGAGCCAACACACACCACCAACAGCTGACTGCCTGCCTGTCCCAAACCCAGGCACTTGCCCAAGTGGTCTTTGAGTTTCCAACCCACCTGTGGGGCACAAGACCACCTTTCCACCAAAACCCTGTGTTTCTGTTCTTGGTTTTTGCAATACTGGGAATTGAACCAAGGTCACTGCTCATGCCAGGCAAGTGCTGTACCTCTGAGCTAAATCCCAGCCCTTTTTGTTTTATTTTGAGACAGAGTCTCACTTAGTTGCCCAGGCTGGTCTTGAACTTATGCTCTTCCTGCATCAGCCTCCGAGGAGATGGGATTTTAGGCATGCACTACTGAGCCCAGTTCCTGTCTACCCCTTTCTAGGAGTCTATCGACCTGCTTGCTTCCTTTCTCCTTTCTTCGCTGATCCATCCTGGATCTTTAAAATATTTGCTGTCCACATGGACTTGACGCCATGCACGTGGAAGTGAGCAAGGGGCAGACACTGCCGGTTGCTGGCAGCATCCCCGTTCAGTTAGGTGAGAATGTGATCGGCCAGGTGAGAATGAGCCTAAGTGACACCACAGAGCAGGAAGTCTGGGATGGAGGTGAAAGGGCAGGTATGCCGCCCCCGTGGGTGTCAGCGTGCAGCTGGGGGAGCAGGGATTCCTGGGGAACCAGAGACCAGGTGAGAGTGGAAAAAGGGGCCTGCAGCAGGTGCTGTGGCCAGGGGTGAAGCTGCATGGTCAAGGTGGCTAGGAGGGCACCATGCGGGCTGGAGAGACCCTGCTGTGGGCAGGGGCATAGTTTAGGGAGGGTGGCGTCATGGAGATGGGAAGGTCCAGTGGTGGTGTGGCCCCTGGGTACCAAGGGAGCTAGAATAAGGGAATGAGGCAGTGGGAGCCAGCCCAGGAGGCTGAAGAATCACTTCTGGACCCTGACATTGGAACTTTTTGTACATCACCAACCTCTTCTTTGGCTGCCTCTTAAAATTGGGATCAAAATTCTGGGCATTATCTGGGCATGGTTGTGCATGTCTGTACTTCCAGCACTCAAGAGGCTGAGGCAGGAGGATCACCATGAGTTCAAGGCTAGCCTGGGCTACATAGTGAGACCTTGTCTCAAAACAAAACAAAACAAAGAAAATTCTGGGCATTGAGATAGCAAAGAAAGGCTCATTAAATAATATATATTCGAAGGAAATTTAAAAATACCTGTCTAAAGAAGGAAATAAAGCTTTTCCTACATTGTGGTCCAAACTGTAGAATTAAACTCTGTGTCCATTTTCAAAATGGACATTTTCATGCTGAACTCTTAGAAAGTTTTGAAACAGTCAGGTACAACTGACTCCTGCATCACATATCCCAGCACTCTGTGTGGGCCCTTGTGGGAATAAAGAGCATCCCTAAATTGAGGCCAGGTTTATCTCCCATGCGATTGTGGTGCCGTGATTTGCACACTCGCTGCACATGTAGATGTGTTTACTCTGATGGGCTTCGTGGGCTGGGGCCCCCGCAGCAGAAGGCCCAATCAGCCCCACATTTATCTACTTCTGTGTTTCTGATTGTGCTTTATAATGTGTTGATGTTTCCAGGCCAATCTTGCACAACTACTGAGAGATTCTCAGGAACGAAATAAACATCTGGGAGAAGAAATTAAAGAACTTCAGCAAAGGCTTGGAGAGGTCCAGGGCGACAATAAGGTACCGTGAATATACAAAGGAAGAGAGCTCTGCTAACGCATCAGAGGTCTATCTATGTAGGGCACATCAGAAAAACGGAATGTAGCATTTATTGAAAATTTTGTTAGAGATTTTTACATTTGCAATGAAAATTCAGCTTAGTGCTTCTTATCTTTATTATATCCCTTTTGTGTGTGTGTATGCAAGCCAATGTGTGTGTTTCTGGTTTGCTCTAAAATATTGTTGCAACTGCCGTAGAAGTTTCATTATGTTCAGCTTGGTGGTGAATAACATTGTGGTTGAGGGTGAAATAAAACTCAAATGCTATACTTTACCCCTTCTATACAAATAATGGATTTGTGGCTCAGATGATTTGGAATTATTCACATTCAGTTTTGAATTTTAAGTAGTCATCCTACTAATTATGTTCACATAACCAATTTATTTTATTGCTAAATTTGGCAATTTGTATGGAACATTGCTCAAAATCCACTGCTTGGTATTAATCAAACTCCCCTGTTGGCAACGTTAATTATAAAATATGAACTCATAAACTCCAAACTAAATGTGTGCACTCTTTCTTTCTCCCAGCTGAAGCTATGAACAAAAGTACAATTGAGAAAGGGAAGAAAAACTGCCGAAGTTTAATTCTGTCCCCCAAAATAATTTCCTGTTTTGCCAAGATAGATTTATTTTCAACTCCTTGCCAGAGGCAGCTTTTGCAAGAGAGGGCGTGCGTTTTCGATTCAAGAAAATGATATTGTGTGGGGGTTCAGGGGAGCTTTCTGGGGAAATGTTTTCTAGATGTTACCAAATTCCTTGACAGATGATGGTGACTTTCATTTTTGCTGGGAATTGTTGGTTATTGGAAGCGCCATTTTGAAAGATGCTCATTCTTTAGAAACTGCACAGAATTGCCTGGAGAGAATACTTTTACTGCAGGAGATCAGAGAACTTGGTGCCTACTGCTGGGCCAAGCAACCTGGCCTGAGGGCATTTATTCCACCGGGAAGATGTGGTGGTTTAGATATGGTGTATCCTTGACGAAGGTGCTGGGAATTGGCTCCCAATGTAAGAATATTAAAAGGTGTTGGAACTAATGGGGCTCTGAGGGGGTGACTAGGGCCCAATCACCCTCATGAAGGGACTAATACGGTCTCCCAGGGTGGGGTAGATCTCCCAGGAGTGTATTCATTCCTATAAGAGCCAGTTGTTATAAAACAAAAAAAAGAAGGTAGGTCGGTCTCCATGTGAGCTCTTCCACGTACATGGCTCATCCCTGCACTGCTCTCTATGTCTCCTCACCACGTGATATCATCTGCCATGTTATGATGCAGCCATGAGGCCCTCACCAGAAGCCTGTGCTCTTGGACCTCTGGAACTGGCAGCTAAATAAGCCTTTTTACTTTATAAAGTACCCAGATTTGGGTGTTTTGTTATAATAATGGAAATGAATGAAGACAGAAGCCTTCCTTACGTAGCCTTTTCTTCATTCTGTCTGCCTTCTAATTTTTTTTCTTAAACCTCTTACTTAACATAAATTAAAAAAATTAGCCTCTCCTATTCCTGGTCATAAAATAGGAAGTGAGAGAGGATGCCCAGGAAAGGTTTTAATGAAAACCAGACAGGGTAATCAGCCTTGCATGTGGTTTTCGCCATCATTACGAAGGTTCCAGTTCAGCAGCCTAGGTGCTTGGTCAGTAATTAGAGGCCAGACCTTCTCAGTCACTTCCTCTAGCAATGACAGCAAAGCAAGGTTTTCTAGAGAACAAAATGTATGTAGTCATTTCTTTAAGCTCTTAACAATACTAGAGGAATTTTGGAGATGTCATAAACCCACTGAAACAGTTTAAAGGTATGATTTAGGGATTCATGGTTCTTTTTGGCTGATTTTTTTTCTGTTTCCTTTTGTCATTCTGAGCTACCCCTGACCCCAGCTTTCTTAAATACCTCTCAGCCTCACCTCTGGGTTTTTGCTCATTGTTTTACCTTTTAAGCATGAGGAATTTTAGGAATTGATGTTGGCTACTGATATTTCAAGGCAAAAGAGGGAAGACATGTGTGAGTGTGTGTGTGTATGAGTGTGAGTCTGCATGTGTGTGTTTGTGTGTATACATGTGCAGGCATGCACATACCACCACACCAAGCCTAGGACTTCTCTTACATTGTCAAAGTCTGAATGTCCTGATTGGCTTGGGCACTGGGTCTCTATTTCTGCAGCGAGACACATTTATCAACTTTGTTTGCTCACCCAAGGTTTAGAATTTAGTGACTTGTTTCATGGCCTGTGAAGTAGTTTCCCTGCCGAAAGGTGAAGGGAAGGCATACTAGTGTTCAGCAAACCTCTCACTCAGCAACTGGTCTCTCCTCTTCAAACAAAACAAAACAACCCCAAGACTGCAGTGAGCTTCAGAGGTGCCATGTGGTCTCCCTCGCACCCAGAGTTACAGGGCTAGCTTATTTTAGGCCTCTGTGAATCATGATCCCTCGCCCCCCAGCTCAGCCCCTATCCTTAACACAGAGGCCACATTCCTCGCTGGATGGTGGCAGCAGCCTTCGGGAGGAGCCGGAAGCCTCAGTTCACAGCTGCCTGGGACTGGGTGGCAGAGAAGGGGTTCACCCTTTGGGGGTTTTGTTGCTTGGGTTTGTTGCATTTTTTTGATTGGTCATTTCACTTGCTGCTCCATACCTTCCAGCACCTTCCGGACCCAGGTCACCTTGTCCTTGTGATGTGTTCCCTGCTGATCTCTCCAGCCCCATCCGTGCCAATTCTCCTCTGATACTTGTGCTGATTTCCCCTTTGCTGTGCAGTTTGTTCTGTCTGGAATACTTTTCCCCTTGACTTCTCCTGCAAGCTCCAATTCATCTTTCAGGACACAGGTCAAATAGAGCCTTTGCCAGCCCTTGGGTGCCAGTCCCAATCATGCCCACAGAGCCCCACTGTGCCCCTCAGCTGGTGCTTGTGTGGCAGCCCTAACCCTGAGGTCACTTGTTTGCAGGCCAAATCTCACATGTGCACTGTTGTAGCCATAGGAATTAGCCTTAGTTCCCATACTCAGTCTTTAAACAGCCTCTGTTGAAGAAATGGAGTGAATGAATGAACGAATGGAATGAGCAATCAGGGGAATAAAAAAAGAGCAAAGTGATTCAAGGAAGAGGAAAAGAAAAAGAAAGAGAGAAGGGGTCTGACTCATTCTGGTCAGCATCCGCAGCTCACTTTTAAATAGTTGGAAATTTGGAGAAAGGAGCTAGAAAAGCAAACTCTTCTAACAAGAGGGAAATAAAAGCAGCCGGAGATAGGCGGCCTGGGGCAATCCTGCAGGCGGCTCGGTGGACAGGGGCCAGAGTCCTGCTCAGTGGCTGCTTCAAGCCCGTTCAGTTCTTGCACAGCGAACACCGTGTGGTTCAGCTCCAACTCCGCCGCCAGACAGAGGGGCCGAGGGCATCAATTTATGAGCTCTCATTAAAGTGGAAGATTTTTATCTCTGAGTTGCCATTTTAACTACTGACCCTTAGCCATATTTTGGGAGGCCCAGCTTCTAGATGTTAAGCACATTTAAGAAACAAGGTGACAGGAAATTACTTGCCTTGGATATTTTAGGGTAGACTAATTTTTCCATTTGTTCAGCTAGAGCTGTGTATCCCTCTGTGCTATAAAGCATTCCCAAGCAGCTTCCTGAAAGATTTGCTGCCTGCCCCCATCCCGGGCTTATGAGCAACTTGGCACCTGCCTGGGTCAGGGGTAGGGTTCCCCTGCCGGGTTGGGTGTCTGTAATGTGGGCTTGCAGTCCTGTCCATCTGCCATCTCTCTGTCCAGTGCCCAAGAATTTCACAGGCTCCCTGGTTTACACGAACCCCTAACCCAAGCCAGAGGAAAGGTGTGCCATGGGGAACCTACCCAGATAACTTCTGCTTCCTCAAATCTGTCAGCACTTAGAGGTTAACAAGCAAAGAGGGGGCCTCTGTGGAAGCAGGCCCATGATGCCACCAGTCTCCCAGGGAGGGCTGTCCACAGATTGTGGTGGCCCAGGGCT